GGATGGGGGGGGGGGGGGGAGTGAGAGGTAATCTGCGCTTATTATGTAACTCGGTGGCGACAGGAAGGAGGGTTGTCTGGAAATACACGCGCTATCGGCAGATTAGACGGCGAGCGAGCAATTTGGCTCGGAAGGGTCTGATAAGACAGAATGACTGGATCTTTCGGCTGAAATCCTCGGAGCCTGAAAGAATTCCTAGAAAGGTTTTTCGTGTGCGTACCTGCCGCATCCGGCGCGACTGGGTTGGGTAGAGCGGAGTTCGTTTTCTCCGCTTCCCGCCAATTCTGCCGTGCTAGGAAAGGACGCCAGATGAACCTTCAGGCGTTGCCAAATCTGCCCTTAAAGCATAAGAATTTTCAAAGCAATCTGCGATTTTTCTCGAATTTATCACAGAATTGTATTTGCTATTAAATCTGAAGTGTTTGACAAGTACGAGAGAAAATACCTGACACTCTCCATTTGGCTGCAGGCGCTTGACACAAAGTCATTGAACAACAGAAAAAGGAAAAAAAAACTCCTTTTTAAAATAAACATTTAAGGTATTGGAGGAAGTTCGGCAACTTTCGAAGTCTCATACGGCGTCTTTACGTAGAACGGCAGAATTGGACTACATTTAGCATTTAGGAATTATAATTTCGCCTCATCCATGAGGACACCTATGTCTCCGGGAAGACTAATGGTGCATAAGTTGTTTTAAAACTGAGGCAGAAATTGTAGCTCCTAATTGCAAAATGTAGTCAAATATTTAGCTGATTTCTCCTCACGCATGAAACAAATTCTGATGGACATTCTCCTCTGAGAGAGCAATATGGCGCACTAAAAAGGATTTTCCGGAGATATTTTTTTGTGGCAACATCCTCCCAAGAACTCTCGTCCCCCCCCCCCCCNCCCCCCCCCCCTCCTCAGGGTTTGGGATGAGATGGCACTCGTGATATTTTCGTCTTGATATTGAGAAAAATGTATTTGGAAAGTTACGGGAAAAATATTAAGTTTCATTAATGAGCCTACATTACGTTCTCATAGGGGCCTAGCCCTTTTTTTTCAGAGCGGAGTTAGGGCCTCCAGTGCGAGGGGAGATTTAAAGGGAACAACACTGGGAAACCTGATACTACTGATCGCACCTATTTGAAACTTTTCTAAATTATACGGTTCTACTTGTAACTTTCCAAAATTAAGAAAAATCTATTAAACTACGTGCTTCTATCGAGATATTTCAAAATTCCCGGCCTATTTTTTCCTCATTTTTCCGGAGAGAAACAAGCCTACGTCATGGCTTGAAATTGGAACAGAAAACTATTCTCTAATAAAGCAGCAAAATTATACAAGTTTTTCAGAATTTGCGTTATCTAGCTTCCCAAAAAAATTAGGTATGGCAGGAAGTCTCCAATGCCAAAAATAAAGTGGTTTCGCACTGAGGATAGATATTGATAAAATCATCGACATTGAAAGAACAATTTAAAGGCATGAGGTGGAAATGGAGGGTGAGAAATAATCTGCAAATTACGAATTGGGCACATCTCCTAGGTGAAACTGCAGGAACGCGTATCTCGTTGCGGTGTTTCGAAACCTCTACTTCAGATTCACATAATCCGAAAAACAAAACAAAATCATCACTATTGCTTCAAATCATGGGTCCTTCAACTCACAGAGCAGAAAAAAAACAAAATCATCACTATTGCTTCAAATTTTCATGGGTCCTCCAACTCGCAGTACAGGAAAAAACAAAATCATCACTATTGCTTTAAATTTTCATGGGTCCTTCAACTCACAGAGCAGAGAAATCAGGGAGGTTTCTACGATATGAAATTAGGTATTTCTTAATTAAAAAAATAAAATATGACAGGAAGTCTGCAACGTCGCAAACCGAGATACGCATTTGAACAGTTTCATGGTCGATGTAAATTGGTAGACTTCAGTCTCAGAAAACACT